CGTTGCAATATATGGTGGGAAACAAGTTTGATTTGTGATCACAGGGCGATTCAAATTTTACATGCCTTGGTAATATACTGAAGAAAAGGTAATGAAAAATAATTCTAAAGAACAGGAGAACCAGGGATAAAAATGTTTATTTTGAAACGTCCAAAGGCACAAATGTAGTAAAGATTCAAGTTTATTTATATAATTGCCCTTTCAACAAGGTTTAAACCACATTTGATCTTGCATTTAGTCACGCAGTAAAACTAAACATTTCAAAGAAATGTGCATTTCGTGAGAAATTGAGGGATGATGTGTATAGATAAAGGGACACATTGCTAACATATTTGGTAACTTTACAATATCATTTGACCACCTCAGACGATTTTGACAATCATTCTGCATATTACTATCATACGTCACATTTATGAGCAAACTCCTCTATCTATCGAACTGCGATATCAAAAATATATATTATATGTACATTGTATATGTGTTAAGCATTTTTTGAGGTCACAAATAATGCTAATTTTACATAAGAAGAAACGAAAAAAAAATCAAAATTACTGAAGAAAAAAAAATACTTCAACATGTTCAAGGGAAACAGGTTAACCTAAATCATGCTAAAATGCAAACCAAATTTTGTGGATTTATGGACTTTAGTTACAGTTTTCGGAAACGTCTACAAAATCCCGTGTAGCATCTAATAGTATTTATATATATTGATATATTTATGTTGATATACTTTTTGATAAAACAAGTAGACAAATGCTTGCCAATGAATCATTTTCTTGGGACAATACAGGTTAAAAGTTTAACTCCTTATGCCCAACATTCCTTTTTATATTCATTGCAAGAGCTTGCATCGGTTTACTCTCCCAGCCAAATACACAAACATGTGTTACAGACCTATATTATATGCGATTTAAATTGTAATATGCTTCTCATTTCTTCAAATTTTAGAACAATATCAACGACTTAAATATTATTATATACATCCTTTTTATTTTCTTTAAAGATATGTGTAGCTGATCATTAACCAAGATTTTTACTTCAAAAACATATAAGTAGCAAAGATAACATTTTATCTAAAATTAATCAATACAATTTGAAAAAAAGTGTAAATTTTATTTAATCTTTCAGTAAAACAGACGTTTTAGATTTTTAAATATCAAGTCTTTGAACGCTTCAAACTTGAAATAAAATTCAGATATTATTTTGCTATCTTATGAATTGCTTTTCCAAAACTAATATACGAGAAAAAAGTATCATGTTAACAAGGCCGAGTATAATTATTTCTGCCCTAGGGATTTTGATAATTTTTTGATAATTTATTTTTACTATTATATTTATTGTTTTAGGATTGAAAAATCGAATGTTTACCACCCCGTTTTCTTAGTGTGCCATCTTACATGTTGTCAAACTTTACTATTGGACCCTATGGGAATTTGTTGGAAAACCGCCAAATTATTACATTTTTCAATATTTTTTGTACTTCTGCCCTAGGGATTTCTTTTTAATTCAAATAAATAAAAGTAAATGTAAAACGTCACCAAACTGTGAAATTTCAAAAAAGTTCACCATCTCGATTGGTCTAGGTAGAAGCCAAATACCTCTAAAATTGCCATATTACGGTAAAAATACGTATCTATGGTGACGTTTTTATAGCAATTTCAACGTTATTTTTCCAATAATTGTCGTAAAATCACATTTTCAGATCAGTAGGAGTTACAAATAATTTTAATTTTGTATTAAAATTAAAATAATTAATGACTGCATGAAATTAAAAAGCTGCGGAAAGTGATGCGCACTCGGATTAGACTCGGCCTCGTTAATTGTATAAATTTATAAATACGAGGGTTGTTAGAAAAGTTCGCGGACACATTGAATTACGGGAAATCTATTGTGTACTGTGAAGTATGACCTATGTCTGAATGAATTCCTAAATTTTGTTTATTGGTATGTAAAAAATCAGGTCCATATAATAAAATCCTAAAATTTTACAACTATTTTTACTATGGGGTCATGGGATTCATGGAGCAATCAGTTAACGTAAGCGACGTAACAACCAGATTTCAACCCGTTAAGCGTTGTCGCAGTTATGTTTATAAATCTTTCATTTCTACTTTAAAATTGAATATCTATATCAAGACATGTTACTTTTCTACTTTAATGTCTTTTGTACTGATTCGTATATTATTAAGATCTTTAAAAAAAGTCCATGCAGTTAATCGATCCGGTATGGAAACTATGCAAAACCATATAGGCGCAACTCAACGTCCATGCGATAAGGGGGTATTGAAGTATCGATGGAGTTAATCATTCAAAATGTCTCTCCTTCCATTCTTATGAAGCTATAACCATTTGAAAACTTGTTCTTTGTATGTGTAGGAAATTCCCGGCAGCATCTTGAACATTTTAATCTCCTTTTAGACATTTTCCTGTCTGCACACATAATTTTTACGCAGTCGGTGCTCCATGACGCTCAATGACGTTCCGATTTTTGGCTGTCTTTTTACGCGTTGATCATTTATAAACGGCTATAAAACAGTCATATACCATCCAATTTACTTCAAAATTTCTCCCAGTGACGTTTCCTGCATTCTTTAGCGGCAGGTAAAATATCATAAATCTCTTTGCGCTATAATTGTGCAATTTTCAATTTTAATAAAGAGTCTTTGTGATGTAAACGTGCCAAAATGTAGCATGCTCCATGAAGCAAGTTTTATCAAAATAAAAATGCTGTATATTTTTCAATGATCACCCAAGAGCACCAAATTCTTGTATATTAACTGGGAAAAAGGTAAAGATTTTATCTGGAAAGTTTGACCGTTTTTTTGGAAATAGCGCGCTCACAATAGAACTTGTCCGCGAACTTTTCTAACACCCCTCGTACATTATAAATAATAGTTCTGAAAATGATAAATGAAATATAAAAAAGCTACTGTAGAATACAGCCGTGAGTTTCCTCAGCGATAAAGTTTAGACACCTTTCATGTATTAAGAAAGACTGGTTTAAAAATAAAAACATAAAATACGAGCAAGCTATATTTTTGCAGACAATTCATTTTAAAATATCGTTTATCTAAGTCATTAAAGCATTTTATCTTTATAATATCGTGGTCTTACCAAGGCATTTTCCATCAGTGTCATATTGATATATTTCATGTGCTTTGATTTACTCTTTTTTCCCTATTTTCTGTTCTTTAATTAGAAGCTAAAGCTTGAAATTCCTTAGCAGATAAAATTTATCAGACTTTTAGAAGCTTAGGTTATAAGTAATTGCCACAATGATAGCAAAAAAAAATCTCTTGTAAAATAAATCTCAGTCTAATATTTATATTATAAAACCGTTCAACTTTATACTTATCATCATTTCAACTGAAGATTTTCAAGATGAAGTACGTTCTTGCTCTCGCATTTTTACTACTTAACTTCGCTTGTGTTTATAATCTTTCAATACTCACGGATGATAGTGGACGAAATATCACCGACTTGGACATGAAAAATATTGATGCCAAAAATGCAGACGTGGTCAGGCAACTTTTGAATCAGGAGACACTTATTAGAATGGCATTAGTGAGGAATGTACATATTCTGATGAAGGATATGGTGGACCTTAAGGAAAAACTTGAGTCGATGGAATCCTTACAACAAAGTACAGAAATAAAAGTTACAGCCTTACAACAGGAAGTGAGCGACCTTAAACGGGAAAACCAAAAACTAAATCTTAAAAATAGAAAATTCGAAGAAACTTTCAATATCATCGAGGGAAACTTTACGCAAATTAATGATCAATTTGAGAATTTTGCAAAAGAATTTGAGGAAAAAAGAGAAGCATTCGAAACAAACACAAGTACGGTGCTCGGTGATCTAAAAATTGAAGTTCGATATCTGTCAGTCACACTCCTAGATCTTAATAAACATACACTGGAAAGAGATAAAATTATCCCTGTTATGATGGAAGAGAAATGTAACGTCTTGTCGGCAATGTTTAATGCTTCGTTGGATACCTTGAACAACGATTTAGCAGACGCAAGTACTAAGCTGTCGAAGTCAGTGTCAAATCTGGAAAACTCCCAGAATGCAATCGTGGCATCGGTGTTTGGTATGTATTTTCATTTCCAGATGCATCTTATATATGAATGTACACATGTATGATCAATAATTTGAAAATTTACTTACCTTAATGTATTAATTTTAGGTTTCAATTAGCTATCGATCCTTTAACTTTAAATATACTGAAGGAATGATTCTTGGCCAAATTATGCGAGTATAATCTGGGTTGGATCAGTTAACTCTTGTTTATAATATACAAAAAGGTAAACTGACCCAAACCAGATTAAACTCAATTATTTGGCCAAAAATTAGTATAATTATTATTCCTCATAATTTAATTAAGAAATCATTGAATAGTTGTTGATGTAAATTTTCGTTGCACTTCATGAGTTCAAATTTGACGCTAACTAATATATAACGGTAGAAAAAGAAATCATGGGAAGCGTGGGGTATAACTGAGACATAAAAGTAGACCTAGCAGCCATGATGTTTGTTTACATGTAGATTGGATAACTTTTTTTGAAGTAGTTTACGCTTTATAAACATCGAAGGTTGGTGCAGTTTACGTTTTTTTACGAACCGCTTTGCGGTTTATCAAACGCATAAAGCCCAAACATACAGTATAACAGTATACAGTATAACTCCGGTTGTTATTTGATTCATTTTTTTAATGAATATGCATGTACTAAATAATTACAAAAGAATATATTTAATGGCATTGGTACATGTATGCATGGCGATTAGCGATCACTTTTGAGTATTATAATTTTGTATACCTGAGACGTAGTGGATGAAATATTTATCTCCGTAAACTAATTGGAATTGAAAGGAACCGACAAACATCATTGTTAAGAGAAAAGTACATCGTTAAGTGGAAACGGAATATGTAATCAAATATAATCCTGTATATATTCTTTTAATGTCGTATACTAAGTACGTTGTTTTACTTATATCTCCTACCCGAATAAATTTCTCAAAATACTTATTATATATACCGACTACACTTTTTTTTTATCATAAATATATGAAATCAGATAAAGTTTCATTGATAATCGTTCATTGATTGGATCAAGTGGCCGAAAGGCATGAACCACTTACAAGAGAATAGGGAATGTTGATAAGTTGAAGAGGATATTTTTACAATGCATTTTTATCAGACCTCAATAAGTATTCGTTTGAAAATAAAAAAAATAAACCAATAATTAATATGAAGATAAAGAAAATACTTCTTTATTTTATTTTGAATTGTTTTTATGTATTCAATTTTTTACATTACAGGGGATATCAACATAACTCTAGGCAATTTAAAGACCGAAATGAAACAATCTCAGACTGATCAACTGAAGCTGTCTGCCACTGTGTCCTCTCTTGAGGTGTTCCGAATGAATGTTACTAATAATCATTGCGGTATGTTTTGGAAATTTTCTCTGGTTAAAAAATCTTATCATATAGATTAACTAGAAACGATTTGAAAAGCAGTTTGTTGTTATTTTTATAGGTAGATTTTTTTGCGTTATGCGAGTAAATTATCCAGAATCATAAACAAATGCAAAAAATTTGCAGAATACATTATCATGATTATGATATTGTCTTGGACAAAAATAAATAGTGTTTAAACATGCAAAAAACCATGAAGGAGTTCAGCAATCTTACTTGTACGAAGTGTGTGTGTATCTTACATGTATATCAATTATAAACAAAATTTTTATCAATAGTATCTAAAAATAATAGCAAGTCCTTTTCTTAAAGATTTGGGAAAGAAAGTGGCTTTTACCGCCGGAGTAACGACTACTTCCACTGTCTGGAACAGTGGCACACTGGTTTTCAACAAAGTTATTAACAACGTGGGAGGTGGATATAATCCCAATACAGGGATATTTACTGCACCCCTCAATGGAGACTATGTCTTCTACGTCAGTATCCAAAGTTACAGTAACGACTACAGTATTTATATTGACATTGTATTGAACGGCTCTAGTAAGGTTCGGGCAATGGCTTATAAGCTTAATTCTAATGACGGTTACGAAACAGGGACAAACATGGTGACACTGAGACTACAGCAGGGAGACACGGTGTGGGTAAAACATTACTCTGGTACAGGTTACTACACTCTCAGTGATGCTCCTATCACAACGTTCTCCGGATTCCTAACCTAAACGTGTGCAGTTCTGTATTTGAAGACGACAAATATCTGTACAGAATGTCAATTGTAGTAAAATCATGGTTATGCATTGTTTCATTGTGTTTCACATAATATAATATAATTTTAGAAAGCATATTTAAGTTAAAAAAAAAGTCATAACACAAAGAACAAAAAAAAAAAAAATTAATTGAATTAATTATACATTACAATATTTATTGATTTAAATTGAATCGCAATGACGACTGAAAATGAAGAACAAAATCATTAAATATTGCACTTATATTTTGTTAGAAAATTAATTCAATATTTTATCAATTGCAACTGCGCTCAAAGAAAAAAGTGTTTTTGTGGCATTGGTTCACTTTGGGATGACGATATATTTGACCTTGAGTGAGCCCAGATGCACTTGGTATTCCCAATCCTTTTCATAAAGTGATCATACAGTGTATAAGCATGCATTTTATTTCATGTTTGATTTCCTACAAAACGTCAGATTTTATACACGTAACTAAAAACTAACATATCAGAAGATTTGCATTGTAAGATAGGAATAATGTTACTAGTTTTTTAGTCACTACTGATACCACAAATAATTTAACAAAGACTGAGATATTGAGATGAAGTAGTCGTGAATGAGATCATTTACAAACACAACAGAAAAAGCACCACAGCAGCGGAATATAAACTCCTATATCACAGAAACTAGATTTTATTTACAAATATCAGAATAATTTATTATGAAAAAGTATGAATAAGTAAATTTTTCATACAGAAATTTACTGATTAACTAAATGTGTCTATTTGTTTATTTTGAAAAGTGCTGATGAAAATAAAGCATTACTCTATAAAAAAAAAATCGGAGAAAAGGACATCAAAAACATAAAATATACGATTACGGTAATGCATATTTATTATGATGTAGGCACATCTGCTGAGGCTCTGACTTCCCGCCCCCCTCATTGTTACGACAAATCTGAATATTTGTCAGCTATATGTAGCGTGATACATTGCATTGATATACAATTTCTTCAGATTTGTAGATTGACTAAACAATCTTCAAATCTCACAAAAATATATTCAACAACAGATATTGGATGAGAAAGTGGTTTTTATGCCCCCGTAAACGAAGTTTCGGGGGCATATAGTTTTTGTCGTGTCTGTCTGTCTGTCTCTCTGTCTGTCTGTCTGTCTGTCTCTCTGTCTCTCTGTTTGTCTGTTTGTCCGCAAAAACTTTAACCTTGCCCATAACTTTTGATTTAGTGGAGCTATGACTTTCATATTTCATATGTGTATTCCTTGTGACAAGACCTTTCTTTGGGCACCACCAAATTTGACCTTTTGACCTTGACCTTAGAGTTTGACCCACTTTTACATGAACATTTTAAAATTTTACTTTGGCCATATCTTTTGAACAGTAAATACCAGGACACTTATACTTTTCATATGTAATGTTTGTTAAAAGACCTTTCACTGGATACCAAAAACTTTAACCCTATGACCTTGACCTTGTAGATTTCCTTACTTTTAAATAACTTTAACCTTGGTCATGACCTTTGTACGGTAAAGGATGGAGCTTTCATACTTCATACATGTAATCCTTGTGAGAAGACCTTTCATTGGATACCAAGAACATTGACCCTTTGACCTTGACCTTTGAGATTGACCTACTTTAAAAAAGCAAATCTTGACCACAACTTTTAAAGAGTTAGGGCCAGTGCTTTTATACTTTACATATTTGATCCTTATGACAAGACCTTTCTTTGGGTACCACCAAATTTGACTTTTGACTTTGACCTTGGAGTTTGACCCACATTTACATGAAAATTTTAAAATTTTACTTAAGCCATATCTTTTGAATAGTAGACACCAGGACATTTATACTTCACATATATAATGTTTGTTAAAGGACCTTTCACTAGATAACAACAACTTTGACCCTTTGACCTTGTAGATTCTGACCTTCTGACCTTGACCTTGGAGATTTTTGTAATTATTAAAAAACTTTAACATTGCCTTACTTTCAAATTTCACAATTGTTTTCCAGTGAGAATATCCTACTTTTGGTACCAATTAATTAAATTTGCATTTAAGAAAAGCTTAATCTTTGCAATGTTGCCATACGGGGGCATCAGTGTTTTACAAACACATCTTGTTTTTTTAAGAAACTTTCGATAGGATTTAACGGTTACATGGCCGCGAATTTCTCTTAAATCATTTCTTCGTAATCAGGGCAGTGGCTTAAAAAAGCGACAAACTTAAAAAAAATAAATATCCCATTTTCAACTGAGGTTGGTGATTTTTATTTCTGTCAAGTGTAATGAAGATTTTGAACGCCTCCCACGAGAACTCTCAGGTACAAAACTAAGGTGAAATTAAATACATGTATGAATGCTTTTCGGTATTTGAAGCGATTGACCTGATTCATATTTTTTTTTCTTTTTTTGGTTGAGGTAAACAATTTAATCCAGTACGGGAATAAAAGTGTAAAGCTTCCAAAAGATTGTGTAGTTTCTGAAAAAAATAGAAATCAAATTATTTTTCATTTTTCTACCGTTTCCATTGCAAGGGTAAGAATTGAATGTTGACCTCAAAACTAGAGTTCCTTATCATAATCAATTTAGCGATCCATCACGATTGTCCAATCCACTACTGAGATCATTTGTGACCAAAATTCCTTTTTTGTTTTGTTTCTATTGTAACCGTGTGTGACTTAAGCCAGTTTTTTTTTTAAATTGAAAAAAACTTTGATTAAATGCAAGGAATAAATCAGTTAAGTCTCAAAATGATTACTCCAGCAGTTGCTGAGAAAGGAAAGTTAATTTTTTTTTAATTTACCTGTCTTTCTTTGGCAACAATGATTATTCATCATGCAAGGTTTCATGGTAAATCTTTAAGCGACCAAAAAGAAGATTCCCGAACAAAATTTCTCAATTTTAGCACGTTTCCATGGCAACGGTAGACATTTTGAAACTGAAAGTCTGCACTACACAAGAACAACTA